TTACCATTTTAGGTTGCTGCATTTTTCAGTATATAAAGCAGCTCCACAGAAGACAATAGTGTCATTATTCAGCTCTAATTAGTTCAATCAATGTTGATTCAATTCAGTTCGATAACAATGTCAATGTTGCAAAGTTCATCAGCAAAATGAATTCAATTCAGCTGAAAGCAGCTCTACAGAAGATAATAATGTTATTATTCAACTCAGTTTAGTTCAATGTTGATTTAATTCAGTAGCAGCATTGTTTGTGTGGTGATGTTTTTTGACCACTCTCATTTTCTTCATAAAAACTGAAAATGTACTTTTTTTTTAATCAGGTCATATTACATACAGGTGCATCTCAATAAATTAGAATGTCGTGGAAAAGTTCATTTATTTCAGTAATTCAGCTCAAATTGTGAAACTCGTGTATTAAATAAATTCAATACACACAGACTGAATGCTTGACTGGCCAGCAAACTCACCAGACCTGAACCCCATAGAGAATCTATGGGGTATTGTCAAGTGGAAAATGAGAAACAAGAGACCAAAAAATGTAGATGAGCTGAAGGCCACTGTCAAAGAAACCTGGGCTTCCATACCACCTCAGTAGTGCCACAAACTGATCACCTCCATGCTACGCCGAATTGAGGCAGTAATTAAAGCAGAAGGAGACCCTACCAAGTTATTGAGTACATGTACAGTAAATGAACATACTTTCCAGAAGGCCAACAATTCATTAAAAATGTTTTTTTTTATTGGTCTTATGGAGTATTCTAATTTGTTGAGATAGTGAGTTGGTGGGTTTTTGTTAAATGTGAGCCAAAATCATCACAATTAAAAGAACCAAAGACTTAAACTACTTCCAGTCTGTGTGCATTGAATTTATTTAATACATGAGTTTCACAATTTGAGTTGAATTACTGAAATAAATGAACTTTTCCACGACATTCTAATTTATTGAGATGCACCTGTATTCTTAAATTTAACAGCTGCGCCTGTAGTCATAGAAAAAGGGGGCAAATGCATTCATCTGACCTAATTGACCTTTTGCTAAGCTCTGTCTTTCTGTGCACAGTGTGATTTTTCAGTAAAATGTGCTCATAAAGTGGTCAAAATGAATTGGAAATCATTTTTTTTAATCTGATGTTTTTCTTTAAATTAAATTCAATTATGCAGTAGCATAGCTAAAAAGAGACAATGTAAACCATTTTTATCTGATGTTTTTCTTTACATAAATGATTCAATTATGCAGTAGCATTGCTAAAAAGAGACAATGTAAACCATTTTTATCTGATGTTTTTCTTTACATAAATGATTCAATTATGCAGTAGCATTGCTAAAAAGACTAAAAACTAGTTTAGTGTAAAATTGCATTTAAAACAACACACACACACACACAGACTTGCATTAGAAAAGAGTGAAGTGAAAAGAGTGAAAGAGTTGGTCAGCGCGTTTCTAAAGTGTGTGTGTGTGTG